TTTCACATCCTGTGAACGTCTTGCCATTCCACTCTGCCTCAGCCCAGTCCGCAAATCCTTTTGCACGCCCTGTGAAAATGGGCGGGCCCTCACAGGCCGACCGACCACATTTGTTCCACAGCAGAATTCAATTGTGCAGTCCATGAATAGAAGAATGAGAAAATTTTGAGTGAGTAATGCCACGTACACCTGTCAGTTTGCTGGTCAAGTAGCACTGGCAGACTTCCATTTCCATGACGCACGTCTGTGCTGTAAAACCAAAACAGCACCAACTGAAAAGCCACTACACTACATTCTCCGATTCTATCAGAGAAGTTGGTGGGCATTGAAGGGAGCAAGGCACACAGCAAAGTACCCGCACATGTAGTTAGTGCCCCTTCCCCTAAGCCCAATTCCATGGACATGTCTGCGTCTGCGGAGTCTTTTTTTTTTCACCCCAAATTCTCTCTCTCTCTCTCTCTCTCTCTCTCTCTCTCTCTCTCTCTCTCTCTCTCTCTCTCTCTCTCTCTCTCTCTCTCTCTCTCTCATTCCGTCCATGAATCATCATAAACCATCCATAAAAGTTGATACAACAAAAAAGGTATGGATAGGCATGTATTCAGTGTGCCTGAGTGCCTGAGTGCCTGAGTGCCTGAGTGCCTGAGTGCCTGTGTGTCTTGTCAAAGGATGCTAACTTGCTAAGTCATTAGGGTACTAAGTCCGTACTCAGTGACACTCGGGACTTTTCAGTTACGTTTCCACATAATCGCGGTCGGATACATCCAGGTAGGGGACTGTAATTGCAGCCAGGTTCATTTAGAAAAGTACTACCGTCTTCCCCTGAACATAACGCACCCTAAAAATGAATGTATAGAAGCTATATTTCCGGCCAGATACAGCCAAAATAAGGGTGCGTTGTGTTCGGGGGAAGACGGTAGTGTGAGTATGCCCAACGTTACTAGCTAATCGAAAGTAAAGACGGCGGATGCCGTCCTCCAGGTCATCGGTTAAAATTGGAACGACGCCCCTGCGCAAGGATGAAAAGGGAAAGGGAAAGGGAAAGGGAAAGAGGAAAAAAGAGAGACTGCCGATACCTGCCGAGACAGGCGTGGGGGTTCATACCCCACGTTGAATTGAAAGAGCTGTTCGGCAAAACAGCAGTAAGCATGAGATTGCAGGCGGAGGAACGCCATCCATTGCGCACACTTGTGAAAAAAAGAGTCGCTTATGCCTGGCTTTCGTTAAACGCAACAAGGTCCCCTACATCCGCCACTCAAACCGCCGGTACGTTCACCGGCAACTTTTTTACGCCGCAACGTTCAGCACACAGCCTACCAGAGCTGAATGGCTGGCAGCACCAGCCAAAAGAGAAAGCCCGCCGGTTCGTTCTCTTTTGTCGCCCAGGGCGTTTCTAGGCTCGCCGAGGGAAGGGAAGGGTCACATAAGTACTCGTGGTTTTTTAAGTCGGCCACGCCCAGAATACTGTCTGTTGGCAACTTCACAACTTTACACTCACTTGGTGCAAAGGTGCGAAGTTTGCAAGTTCGCGCCCAAGCGAGTGAGTGTCTACCCATGGATGGGTACTGATCAGGAAAACTGTATTCTGGGCCCGGCACACATCAACCACACACAGCCAGAGGACATCAGCGCATTTGGATGCTATACAATGTATACATTTTGCACACTTGGTGGTCAGTATTGCGGAAGAGCCCCTTCAGGAAACCGCACACCGACGTTTGACTCCCTCCCTACAGCGCTCGTCAAACCCCCACCCACAGGCACTAACTTGCTACCGCACGCTCCGGCAAGCTGTCTACCTGATTAGTTTATTTAGAGTACACAGCCAGAGGCCAATCAGCACATCTTGATGCTACCTATATAGACTCTTGAGTGCATAAATCCAGTGCCGATTATGAGTTTCAGCCACAGAGGAAGGGTTTTCATCGAGGGTACTTGTTCCCTCATCGCTCTCTCACAACACTTTGGAGAGATTTCTTTCCAGACAGACACACCATACTCGACAAAATACCAAACAAACAGACCAGTAGAATATTGAATTTGAAAAAAAAAAAAAAAAAAAAAAAAAAAAAAACGTTGGTAGGAAANAAAAAAAAAAAACGTTGGTAGGAAACTGAAGAAAAGATCAGTGCACAAGCATATCCTCAAAGGCGGGAAGGCGCAGTGTACAACCACATGGAAGAAAGAAAAAAGACAAAAAAAAAGAGGCACAGCCGCATAGGTGAGCCCACAACCGGGGTAACCAACCCATCTCTGATATTTCAAACTCAGGGCGTACTAACACTAGCTCTATCTTAAATGTATCTGACTGCATTTACTGCCAGACCTGGATGCATCTGACCGCATCTACTGCCAGAACTGCCAGCCTTGGATGCATCTGACGGCAATTACGTCCATTTATAAGTAACAAAGTCCTAGTGGGAGTATGCCCTCAAAAAACATGTGCCAATTACATGTCTGATCTGCCGTTCGTGCCGACTGGGCATCGGGTGAAGGACACAATTGCTAAAAACTTGAAAAGCTTAGGTAACCACGAAATCTGTTGCAATATCAAATACGACCTCAGCTACCGTGCATCAGTCAACGATCAATAAAGATAGCGTTGGCTTTCTCATGCTGGCAGCTGTAACAACCTTTCTACTGCATCTAAATCCGCCGCTTCGCCGGCGCTACTCTTTACCAATGCCTGCCATCCCCCTATTGTTGCCAGTGCCACAAAGTTGTCCTGGCCATACAAATATCATCATCGCACTGCGACATTACCCTTTCCAGCTTTGGCATACAACGATCCTCTCCTTCTCCCACCGACCTATGTATCTCCCTTCCGTATGTCTTCGTCGATTCTTCGCTGATAAACCAGCAATCCTCCTCCTCCCCCCTCTTTCCCACATAAGAAAAGCAAGGAAGCGGGAAGGAGCTTAAACCGACTGACAACAGTCAATCTCTCAAGCTTGAACCAGCAGCCAGGGCACAGAACATCGACCGGCGTCACGCCTGGTGCTTCTGTTGCCTCACACGGAAAAGTAACACCGTCTTCGAATCAACACTGGAGCGCAGCAGCACTGTGTCGATGTATAGATCGAAAGTTCGAAACCCAATCAATCGGACTTCACCAAACGACTTGTATATGCCCGCCTCCAGAGAAGTCCAGCCAAGATGGTAAGGTGGGCGGCAAGCAACAGGAGCGATGACTCCGCCGTGGATGGAAAGACGTTCCAGCAATACTCAATCGCTACCCAAAGAAGCAGTCTGACGGGAGTTGCGATCGGCGTGCACCAAAGCAGGTAGGGGATGGTGTGAAAGTACCAAGAGTAGAACTGATAGTGAAGCGATCGAGCACAAACAATCCCTACAAAGTTGGCGGTGAACATGATCGTCGCGATATCGGTTCGCTCTTCCTTCTCCTCGTCCCGACTGCCGACAATCGCCGTCTCCTTGCTCTTGTTCTTCTTCTTCTGTTGAGTCTGTCGTTTCTTCTTTCCGCCAGAAATCACCTTGCGCAGGAAGGAGAGGACACCACCCTCGCGATAAAGCCAGCAGCGATGTGCGAACAGAAAGAGAAGAAGCAGATGCGCCGCGAGCAAGGACACGGCGAAGGGCTTGGACACAAAGATGTCCTCTCTGACAAACTTGAAGTTCACCGACCAGAAGTAGATAAACACACGGCTAAAATTGAAAGCTCTCGATAGGTATTCCCACGGGTAGGACAAAAGAAAGGGGATTCCAGCAAGCAGCTGAACAAGGCCGGCTGCCGTCAGCGCCGCAATCGTCACTCCGATCGACGTCCTCTTCAGCAAGACGATAGCCAGCCCAGGCGCAAACAACAGGAGGTTCATCTTCACCGACACGCCGGCGCTGAAGATGGTCGCTGCAAGGATCCAACGCCTAGAGAGCAATGCCGAGATCGAAAGGTAGGCAAGAAACATCGCGAAGCAATCGTTGAATAGTCTCAAGAGGAAGATGGAATGCAATCGCTTTGAGAGGCAGAGTAACAGATAAGCCCAGGGAGGCACAGAAACCGCAGACCTGATGTAGATATAGAAGACCGCAGCAAGATTAGCAAGATAGAGGATAGCAAAACAGATCTGCGCTGGAAACACCGCGCCTCCAGACGTAAGATGGAACAGACCGGAGAAGATGTAAAGATATCCTGCAGGATAAACAAGAGGACCTGTGTCTCCTTTCAACTTAGTGTAATCTCGCTCGCCTCCGAGGAATCCCTTCACCTGGGACATGTAAGCTTCCCAATCTATTTCTGTATACGCGACTCTCCGAACGATCACCGCACACATCATTGCCTCAAAAATCCACAGAGCCAGCGCAACTCGGCTCGCCATCACTGTGTCAGTGGGATCATTCAGGCGCCTGGCCAGATCCACAACCCCTGCCCACTCTCTTGCCGTTCCCCGCTCCGCCGCCGTCTTTCCCATCTGCCACCCCGACCCCCAAAGCCCTACCCCTTTTGCATCAGCCGGCCCATCCTTCGATGACGTTGAGGAGTTTGCGGAATTGTCACCACCATCCCCACTCCTCTTCCTCCTGCTGCGGCGGCTCCCGCTAGAGTCAACCATCTCTCCCAACTCAGGTTCAAACCTCTAAAGCAGTATGAGATCTTTGCCGATTCTTCTTCGAGCCAAACCCCACTCTGCTTACCGTTTCCAGCCCGGCTGACGTGTTTGACCAACGGACGGACCTCTTGACGTGCACGCCTTGCTTGCTCAGTCATTTGCTGCCCCCCTACCCAGGTCCTTGAAGTCCTCATCAAATTACATTCTGCCCCCTAGACTCCCTCCCACGGCTAATCCCGCCGACATCTCAAAGATGAGACCTAAACTTTCCCTCCCACGGCTCATTCCGCCCACATCTCAACGATGACAAAACAGGCCGATCACTCTAGAGAAGTGCAGTTGTTCACGTTCGGCAGCAGCAGCGGCTCTCAGATATGCACGTAAGCTCTCGCTCTATTTTCTCGTCTCTCTCGTTCTTGTTCCAAGTACAGCCCTCCCTCCTCATTCTCTGTTCAACGTTGACATGAGTCTGGTCCATAGAGAATGCAGACACCACAGAATCGGACTATCATCCAGGTGCTGGTGCTCCCAAAACACCAACCAACCAACCAACCAACCACGCATCAGGCTAACAAGAAGCCAACCCAAACTCTCATCACCATACCATACCATACCATACTTAAAGCCATAGCAACAACATAACCCTACTCCAATAGCACAGAATCGGACTACTATCATCCAGGCACCGGGTGCTCCTTAAACACCAACCAACCAACCAACCAACCAAGTATCAGACTTAGAAAAAGCCTTTGCAAGCCATCCAAAGCTCTCATCACCATACTCACAGCCATAGCAGCAGCAAAGGAGCGTGGGTGTCGTGGTCCAATGCTCCACGACACTACGACACCCACGCGGAAATGGGCTTGAGCATTAATTACACCACAGTTTAGGACCACAATGCCGACACTAATGCTATCGCTAGCCATGTTCAACGTATCGATAGCATTAGAACACTCCTCCAACAGGGTAAAAAGTATGGCCCCGGTAAGGGCTCGTGAGACCCGGAGAGTTTGAATTGTTTTTCCATGACACACACCCACACGACCGCATCGAGTTATCATTCACAGCTATCAAATTAGAGCTTTTGCAGTTCTAATTGCTCAGCATTGTACACACACAGTACTACACACCGCCACCTCCACACCTCCAAATAAAAGGCACAGGCCCTGTAAACCCTATCGAATACGGAAGAGACGGTCAGCAGCAGTGTGCTGATGCAGTACTGCGCTCTGGGACGTCATCAGAGCCGTGACAACACAGCCCCTCCTATGTGCTTACATGAGGCCGCATCAGTCACACGCGGCGGCCGTCACAAATGGTCATAGAAGCGGATTCCGTCGGCAATTGCGTTCACCAGAGAAATCGGTTTCTTCTTCTCTAGGGACAGGTGTCGCACATGTTGGTACACCCATGAACTTTTGAACTACAGACCCGAGTTCAAATCCAGATGCATTGGACCTAGCTGAACAGAATAACAATGCCGAATCACCTACGCTCGGCCAGTTCAATGGATGATATATCAAGGCCTTTTTCGCCCTCAAAAGAAAAAGAGAAAAACTTCTCAGCTAGAACAACAAACTACTGAACTGTTGTGCGTGCTGGTCCCGGAGATGGACAGCAATATCGAAAGAAAGACGGGACCGCAGACAGAGATAAAGAATACTGAACTCTCATCTGAACTGTTGTGCGCGCTGGGCGTCTTCTGAATACGCATCACGATCATTTGGGTCACAAGAGAAAACACCAAGTACCCAAATGTTGCGTGAGTGGTACCACTTACCCTATACCCTAAACCCTAAACCCAAACACTAAAAAAAAAGGAAGATGGGACTGCAAAAACAATAAATAAAAAAAAGTTTGAAGCTGTGATGGCTTGGCCTGCAGTCTGTACTGTCCGTCCTTTCTCAGCCATAGCAAGGACCCTCCTCCGTGCATGAACAGATTCGAACCGGCGCCCTCACAGCTTCAAGAGCCAAGTATCTTAACCACTCACTACAGCCATCATGCCACGATGTGCAAAAATCTGATCCACGCCGCCGGTCATGCACCCATTGACCGGAGCCAGCCCATGTGGGTGCTCTCAATGAATAATGATACACATACTTACTAAACCCTAAACACGCGTTTCAACCAAAAGTACCCCACCACACCACACCACTCCATCTGGACCTATTATGACCAACCAAACAAAAGTTGCATTCTCCCCCCCACCGCTGCGGAGCATAAGCTTCTACAGTAGTGCCGCCCTGAGGGAGGAAAAGTACTTGTGGTACAGAGCCTGGGCGCCTGGCCAAGTACTTGTAGACAAGAAAAGTGAACGGTGCAGGGACCGTTGGAGGGCCGGTTTAATTGCCAAACCACCAGTACGTTTACCAGCCATGGGGAAAAAAAAATATGTGGCACGCACGCAGCAGATGCAACTTTCACGGCTTGCAAAGGGGTCTAAATGCTAGGCAGATAGAACATAATAATCAAACAGAGCTGCCCGTCCCGGTTCCCTGTAGGCAGAGAGGGAGAAGAGGACAGCAAACGAGGGGCTGTGACAAACTGTTTCGTCGGAGTTTCACCTACCTACTCATCAGGAGGAGGCTGAACCCATTTGTCACATAACTATGCACTAAAAGAGCGCACTTGCGAAAGAAATGGTAAAGATTAAAAAAAAAAAGACAAACATGAAGGGCACCTGTCTCTTATACACATCTAGATGTGTATAAGAGACAGACATTCGTGCAACAGGCTCGCTTCGACTTCGAAGACCAATGTACATGACGTCAACACCAATGCCGACCTCCCACATACACCAGGTACGTACTCTCGACGCTCCTCATCACCCCTTGTCCACCCACACGTGCGCCGCCTTCCTGAAGACCAGGGTTGCCTCCACCTGCCCGCACCCCTGCAGCCCGGCTATGGCCGCTTGGCCGCTTGGATCCCCACTGCCCTGCAGCACCCCACACCACTCAGCGCCCGCACGCGGCCCAGCCAGCATCAGCGCATGCAGACACTTGCGCGCTATCGCAGCAGCGCATCCGCCTTGCCTGCCTAGGCCAGCATGCCCTGGATTGGCTGGCCTACTCCCTATATCGCTGGACTGTCTGGGCCTGGCCGTGGAAGTTTCCAATAGCTTCTGGTCGGGCCCCAGTGTCTGCACCCAGGCCCATGTCTACAGTTGAGGTGCTGGGCCTTTTTCAGCTGGGCACACCCAGGATTTTCCAGGCTCCGAATGTTTGTTGTGTTTGCATTGGCCCGCAGGGTGGGTGTGACAACAATGCTGCATTCTCATTGGCCCATGGCCACTTCGTGATGTGTTGGCCTCACACTGCGTGTGCCCAGGGCGCAACCACCTGCGTCCTGGGCTCAACTGCCTGGCACAGCTGCTGCTTCGGGAAGAGCCCAGGGTGAGGCCCAGGTTGCACTTCAACCAACTGGCGTGCAGCAACTGTCTGAGACCCACTTTGGAAAATGCTGAGATAAGGGCCTCTCGTGGATATTCAGGCCCGCCTTCACTTAGGGCAGGCACGAGGCAGGGGGCCACAGTCCAGAACATATGCATGTTGTCTAGGGCCCCCTGAGGACACATTCCTCACAGTGACAAAAAAGAAAAAGAAAAAAGGGTAGCAAGGCAGGGGAGGAGCACAGACAAAGCAGTCCACACGTCCAACAAGGACCAAAGCAGTTCATTACCAACGCACACGAGAAGCACAACCCCACAGACCTAAGTTCAAAACCAGATGCAATCAGGTGACCTGAAGGCCATCGGCCTTTTGTCTGTTTAAATATTGAAAATAACTGCCAGGACAAAACAGAAGGCAAGGGCTTGGCGTTTCCAGGAAAAGGGCTAGGTCCATACTGAGGAGAGATTTCTACTAAGGAAAGGGTGTCACTGGCAGCCCCAAGGGAAAAGTAGTTCTGAGATAGGAAGACGATGACTATAGCCCGGACACATGGTACTACAATGCTGTTCCAAGGAACGCAGGACCCGGTTTCCAGCAGGTGTCGCTCCCCTCCAATAGATGGAGCAGCCCGACAGGCAAAGCCTGAATTCCGGTGGTTCTCTTATCACCGCCAGGATAGTGGACCTGCGAAGAAAAAGAGAGAAAGAAAGAAAGAAAGAAAGGAAAGAAGTGTCGGGCATCAGGGAATCAGGGATGCAGAAGTGAGGGGTAGGGGGGGGGGGTATTGCAATTGGAAGTAGGATTGTCTTCACCTGAGAAGAATGGAGGGGCATTTATAGCTGTGCATTTTGGGCAAATTCGAGTGTAGAGACAGCGATAATAACCAGTGTTCTATTTGTTTCGATACGGTAGAGTGTGAAGTCCACCAATAAAGGTGGATCGCAGAGGATCCGTAGTACCCGCAATGTAATTTAATTGAACAAGTCAACCCGCCGCGGCGATGCCGCGGCACAGGAATGAGAGGGGGCGTAGAGAGGAAGGGGGACGAGAGGACGAAAGAACGGACTACGAACGGAGAAAGCAGGAGGGTGGATAAAGAAGGGGATGCAAAGAGTAGTGAACACACATAAAGAGAAAGGCGAACTCCGTCCACTTCATAGTTTTTCCCTCCCTTCCATGCATTTTTTTTTTCTCACCCTTGTTGTCTTCCTTGTTCCATCTTTNAGAGAGAGAGAGAGAGAGAGAGAGAGAGAGAGAGAGAGAGAGAGAGAGAGAGAGAGAGAGAGAGAGAGAGAGAGAGAGACCAGATTGCTTATAGCCGATAGCCACCAAATAGCATCACATCGGCAATAGGGAGGAGCGTACTAGCACTAGGATTTTCTGGATGTATCAGACTGCAATTACGCCCCACCCTGGGTGTATCAGGCCGCAATCACATCCAGAGCTGAGTCATAAAAGGTACTCGTCTGAATATGCCCTAAGATCCGCGCACGCTTGCGTGCTTGCTTGCTCCTTGGCTGGCCGGCTGGCTGTTGTTGCCCTGGTTTGGTTGGTTGGTTTTCCGATTTCGTTCTTT